CCCCTACTCAAGAGACGGGCAAAACAAGGTTTTATTCAGAAGCAAAAAAAAAACCATTCATTTTTTTTTCTTTTTTTTCTGAATACCCCTTCTGATTTTATCCATAGCTTTTTGTTTTTTTTTTTTTTTTTGTCCTAGAGTAAAACAGCTCCTGACCTTTATCCTGTGAAAGGTATCACCTTCCGATTTCCCTAAATCCCTCTTGCACTAGAAGTCAAAGCATTAAAACCAGTTCTTAGAAAAGAATTCTTAGCAGATCCTATAAGTTCTTCATCTTAGAAAAAACATTCCAAATTTTGTACAGATGAATCTACATTTCCTATATTTTAATAAGCTGTCTAGAAAATGCAAGGAATTAGAAAAAGATGTATATAATGATTTCTCTATCATTTAATATAACCATTTATTACCTCTAAGTAGTTAAGACTGGGTACATTTTCTTCTGTACTGTTCCTCTTTAGAATTACGACACTTATATTTTTAAATTGAAGATTTACTCTAGAGGACTGAATGCACTTACTGATTTAGGCTTTCTGGAATTTCTCTCTGGGAGCAATAAAGGGGAACGTCCAAAACCCATTAAATCAAATATTGGTTGTCTTGTGAAAAGGGATCTTTCCTCTGCTGGCCAGGTTCCTGCACAGAGAATTACAGAATTTTACTATTGCTAAAACATCGTTTGATCCAGCTTCTAATGGCCATTAATGTCACACCCCAGCTCTGCCACCCTCCGCAACCCAAGACACACCTCATGAGCAGCTGGACCCTGAAAGACCAAAGCGGTTGCTTGGTGGAGGTCCCACTGTAAGAATGAAGAAACTGACCCTTTCGTACTTGTTTGTCCTCGCCTTTGTGAAAATGCGCCTGACAGACCTGCTCCGAGCAAACCTTGCGCTCTCCACTGGCATCAGCCCACGAGAGCCCATGGCAGCCAAGCTCCTGGGCCACTCTCGGCATCAGTCTTCTCCAGCTTTGCTTACCTAGAAAGAGATTTTGTAAAGGGATTTCTTGTGATTTTTTTTTTTTTCCTTTAAATCTTCAGGGCACTCAACTCAACCACAACTGAACAACTGAATCTGCCTGGAATGCACTGGGCTTTAGCACAGGGTTTTGATACCCCCTACCCAGGGGCGAGGAGGGGTTAGCAGTGACAACCTTCCTGAGAGGTGCTAAACTACTGCCACCCTCTCTGCCTCTTACCTTGCTACCACTGCCCTGTCAGCAGGTGCCAACACTGCTGCTCCCCTGCAGAGCCCAGGAACTGAAATTGTTCCTAGAACACTGAAAATAAAAAATTTTACTAAGTTTCAGGGGTTTGATTGTTGGGTTGGTTTAAGAAGGAAACCGTAGTTGTTTAGTTCATACAGCCCTGCCCACGTGCTGCAAAACGTGAGACCAGGTTCAAAGGGAGAATTAGTCTGAACTCAACAATCAAGAAGACCCACACTTTTACATACGGCATAGCTTAAAAAGCTTTAACAAGTATTTTATTCTTCTCTACTTAGAGGCCTAAAATCAAACACTAGATGCTTCCTGTATTTTTTACCAAGTTCCTCCCTCCTGCCAATTAGCAGTTTGGCATGTAAAGCTTCCAGACTCCGAGTTAAAAAAAAAATTCACTATTTTCGTTTGTTTGCTTTTAATAGGCTGAACTTGCCTAGTTTGCTACAGCAGTTACCCTGCTGCACTTCAAAAGCTTAAGTTAAAACTTAGCAGAAGCAAAGCTTTAAGTGGTAAATGGCATTCCCAGAAAACATCCACCTACATCTCACCTTTGTAACACAGCTACCAACCATCCCACCATGACCAACCTGAGATGGATCCTCTTTTGTCAAATTAAAACATGGAGGAAAACAATTTTTACTCTTGAGCTTGTCTTGTGGCTTTCCTCTCCCCCTGCTCAGACATTTCTGTGCACGCCTCCTTCCCACTGCTAGTTCTCGTCTTCCACAGATGCCAAGAAAGAAAATGACACTTTAACAGCAAAAAGTACTGATGGAAGCTGTTGCTTTCCATGCTGTTTAACTTCTTTAAAAGCAAATCTCACCTTTTAGGATGTTTGATGCACCTGAGTTAAGCTTTTCAAGTTTTTTTTTATTTTGTTGGGGTGGGGTTCCCCCCACTTTCCATTCCTCCTTGTGACCTGGCTGATAAGACACCCAAAAGGCCAGCACAGTGCTGTCAGCAAGACAGAAATGTTGGTGCGTCCCACTTGGCTCCAACACCCCAGCCTTGAGATATAACAAATGAGGACATGGTTCTCTCTTTATGCTCTTGATCACTTAATGCTATGGGAAAGCCCTGAGCGCAGGGTACTCACCTAGGTAGTAAATGCATAAAAATGCATTGAATTGCAGGAGTTGCCACTTAGGATTCCAGTTCAGCACAGCGAGAAAAGCACTACTGGGGGGGGGGGGGGGAA